GCTTTGTGTTGCAGTCCTGAGAGAAGCGTACGTGGGGAACTGAGGGCACACATGGGTCCTCACATCTGTCTGGGGCTGCATTGTTTTACATGTGCACTCCCATTTCACTTAAAGCYCCACCCACCCCTTGAATGACAGCAGTTCACAGCTCGCAAGTCGTTGCCTACTTCAGTCTCCCTGGAAGACTCATGTGATAAAAAAGCTGGATTCCAGCACACACACACACATTCCRTCTTTATGGAAAATGGCTGCTAATCCATGATCATTTTTTTTCCAGAAACAGGTTTTATGATAATATAGTAAAAATATTAAATTAGAAAATGCCTCACTAAGGGTTATAAAACCTTACTACACTAGAGATAGGTAATTATCCCCTCTACAGCCTAAATGACAGTTTAAAAGAAATAAAAATGTTAGTGCTCATTACTTGCTTTTGTAGGTTGCAATAAAGGGTAAGTTAAATTTTAATTCAAGGAAGAGCCCCGGCTATCGACCTTCTACCTTAGGTCCAAGTCCTGTTAATTACTCTGTCGCTTATTCTCCTACATGATACTAACATTAATACATTTTCTACAGTGGACATTCCCACTGGCCATTGAGACCCATAGTGTGGAGGGGGAGGGGAGACAAATCAGGAAAGGTACTTCAGATCAGTGATTCAGATCTTGATTCTTAATGTGATGGGGAGCAGGAATTATTTTTTAAAGAAAACCAAGTTCATTATGCATAGCCTTAAGGGAACCTCAAGTATTAAACTCGACACTTACCCTGGAGAATCAGAGGAAGACAAGGTTAACCTGAAGGATTGATAGTCTGGCCCTCTGCACAGCCAAATCCTGGTTAGGGAAGAAGTGCTGCAGTAGAAGCCATCTGCCTCCTCATCTCCAGCTTTTGCTTGCCTGGTTTCTAGTTTTGTTTTCCTTGGGAAGGTGTGAGGGATTTGGATGTGCTTTCTTTCTTTTCAGATGTTTTGATCTTTCCCTCTGCACTGACGCTAGACCTAGCACCTGTCTGGGTTTGGGGGAGCTCCTGGGCTCTCTACACTTCAGTCTTACTTGGTGTGTGAAGACTTTCCAAATTGAAGATAGGTACAGACTTCGATGGAGTCAGTTTCCAAAGTAGAACATGCCTGTGCTGGAGGTACAGGCCTCCCTCTGCTCAGCCTTCTACAGTTGCCCTTCAGCTAGTGCAAAGCTTGCTGTGAGCCCATCTCTAGAGTGCCCTGGTCCTCGCCCTGGACTAGAAAGTTCCAGGGCCTCAGGCACAGGCCCATTTGGACCTATGGTCCAGGAATTGAGAAAGGCCAAGGACTGGACTGAAAATACTGTGTGGGTCAGATGGCTTCCAGGTCTTTATTTTCAACCAAACTATAGGAGAATGTGAGTTGAGTTGTCAGTTGATAGATTGTTAAAGGTAATTTTTGGAACTGGGGATGTGGTGCAGTGGTAGAGTGCTTGCCCAGCATAAGGATTTAGGCTCAATCCCAGCACCACAAAAAAAAAAAAAAAAAAAAATTATGTAATTTTTAGTGATGGGTCACTATGTGATTATTTTTCCC